GGGTGTTATAATAACATTCTTTGAACACAGGTGACACTGCCGGGGTCCCAGGAGCTGCAAGTATTCCAGCATCTATTGGCCAAGGCTAAATGAGGGCTCAAGCCACTGACTAAGTTGTTTGCAAAGGTGCCAGGTTGAGGCACTGTTACTGGACGGGATGTGACACTTGGGGATCAGGTTAACTCAGATTTCTCTGACCAAAGATATTTACAATACAGCCCGAGCGCGGGGAAGGGGAGGGGGAGGAGCGGTGTATCTTAATTAACATCAATGTCTCCAAGGACCTGAAGACAAATGAGTTTTGGGGGGAAAAAAATCTCAAACATGTTCCAAAAGATTTGTTTTATGAAATGATAAATGGCTAATCTTACTAGCTCATCACTCTCATAAAACCCAACTTACTGTTAAAATCGATTAAAAACTACAGGACTGGTGGTGCAGGTACTTAAGGAAGGCGAAAAAGTTATTTAACAATGAAAAGAATGCAAAAGGTATTAGCAACTTAATCCTCTGGCTAATAAAATAGGTTTATTTATATATACATGGGAGCTGAATTCTGTGGATAAGGAAAAATAAGTCACACATCCCACGTATGTATATATAACATATGTACCTCTGATTACATATATTATATATACGTTTTACTTTACAAACAGATATCTTTATATACACACACACACACACACACACACATTGATATATTAAATGCAATCACTGACAGAAATATTATGATAAGGTTGAGGAGCAGACAGGAGCAGACTGGGAAATGAGTCTCAGAGCAACACGTAACCTGCTTCTCGTGGGCTGAAGAGTCTCTGAAGAAAGACAATTACCAAACTGAACGCTGAGTAGGTTCATAGAACATTGAGAACACACATTTTTGAAGGCCATCTTTTTTTTTTAAAGGAAAACGTAGGAAGAAAGAAAAGAGATATGATAAAAAGACCACAGCAACAACACGGATGTAAGAGTCAACATTCAAGTTCAGGTCCCAATCTGACTATAAGAACATCTATATTCAAAATATACTATCAAACTATTTTTCTTTTAGAGAAAGGAAGTGTCACAGCAGTTACCGTCTCTCCCAGCCACTATCTATTAGGGAAAAAGTGGAGAACAGCCATCTCCGGAAGCCCCTCTAGCATCTCTGAGGGTCTGATCCCTGCTGGCTGAGCTGAGTTGAACGCAGCTTGGGCGAGGGAGGCAGCAGGCGACCACCGATGGAGGGGACAGTGAGGGAGACATCCCGCTGTGACCCCCAAGCAGGTCTGCAGCCCTGAGCATGGATACAGTGATGTCTTCTCCTGAGCCATCAGCTTTGGCAATCTTGTTTTTTTAAGATCGCAGGAGGCAGGTTTAGAAACGACAGCTCCACACGCCAAGGCTTCTTCCACAAACACGTTCCTCAAGAGCGTGATGTGATGGCCTTTCCAGGAAACAAGGTGAACCCTAATAAACCTTGGATCCTTGAAGTGGGGCGAGCATTCCAAAGCTCCAGTGCTGGGACCCACATCCAAACCCTCTCCAGAGAAGGCACGAGTGTCCACTGCAGATGTGGGTGGTGGAGAGGACACAGGGATGTGCTTGGAGGGGAGCCTTCTGTCGCCAGGGAAAGCAGTCCTGCTGTGAGCACAGTGGAAGCTCCCTGTTGTGGGATGTTAGGGGGACATGGCTCAAGGATGCCCGACGTCCTCTGTGCGTTCCTGAGGGCTGCATGCTCCTGCCTGTGTCCAAACCTTGGATGGAATGACACTCGACAGCCAACAGTGAGGTTCAGGGTGCTCGTCCTTGGGGTGATGAGATGCTCCCTCTTTCTGCTTTGCACACGAGTCTGTCGCGTCCCTCTAGGTGGCCCAGCTCCCTCCGCTGGTGTGCATACGAAGGGGCAGAAATGGGATCCCTCACACTGAGTGGAGAGGAACCAGAGCTTTAAGAAGCGCTCAGAGGCCATTGTAACATCCACTGGTGCAGTCAGTCTCTTCCCTCCCCTGCCTGGGGCTGCTGGGACAAGTTATTAAGAGAAGCAATCAATGCAACTGCTTTGCTTAGAAATACCTTTATTTTATAAAGCCACGGATCGTTCTGTAAATTTTTTTTCTAACCACACTTATAAAAAAGATGTTGACAATTCTTAGGAAAAAAAAAGACTGAAAACTTTTTATCATCAAGTCAGGGTTACACAAAGATGACATTTATAATATATATTTGTACGTGGATAATTTAGAGACAAAAGGAAGGAACGGCAAAGCGAGGGCTGCTGCACTTAGATCTCCGACACTTGATCGTTTCCCACAAACAGCGTTTCTTGGCAGAAGGGGTTAACGAGGACCATCCCGGTGTCTCTGTAGTCGCCGTTGGCTGGGGACCGGGGCTCCGAGAGCTGGTCCTGGGGGGAGAGGAAGGGATGTTGTGAGCAGCAGAGGGCTCATGGGTGGCCATTCTCAAAGAAGAACCGTGTACTCACAGGGATGTTTATTTCCACCTGGGATTGCTTGGTAAACATTTTTAAAAAAGTATTGAAATATAGTTGACACACAATATCATGTGAGTTTCAGGTGTACTATGTGGAGATTTGACATCCACATACATTATGAAATGATCACGTGACATGTCTAGCGACATGTGTCCTCATACAAAGTTATTACAGCACTATGGACCACAGTCCTTACGCTCTGCATTACACCCATGTGGCTTATTTATTTTACAGCTGGATGTCTGTACCTCTTAATCCCCGTCACCTATTCCGCACCCCTGACCTCATTTTTCATCATCCTCACTGCTGATACTGAGGTCCAGAGCTTTGTCTGCTTGTCTTTCAGATTTTTATAGCAGCTTCCAAAAAAGATGTCCTGCTTCCTGAGCCACCTCCATCTCAGGGTGCCAGGATGGAATTGTCCTCCGTGCACGACTCACATAAGAGCATGGCTCATTGCCTTAGTGGGCAAAACTGGGTCCACTCGGGTCCCAGACTCTCCTTCCTGCCCGGGTCTCACAGACCTCTGGGAGGCCTCGCGGCTCTTCCTTCCCGAACGCTGCCTGCACTCCCCCACCTCTCTCCTCTCCTGCCACCCACCCGTCAGAGCCTTCCAGGGCTCATTCTTCCCGTTCCTGGGTCCTCCCAGAGCCTGGTCAGAATTTTCACCCTGTTTCTTGTAGCACAGGACGTGCTGAGCTGAACAGATTTGAATCTCTGTGTGACTGCACAATAAATAGGTAGTGAATGAAAAATTCAGTCCGTCTACACGGCCCCAGGAGTAGAAAAGCCCAGAAATGGGCCATCCGCTCAGGGTATCTGAATGGCTTTGGCCTCAACTACCAAGGACTGCAAGCATCCGTGGGCCACGAAACGGCTGTTCTCAGACTCAGGCCCAGAATACATCTGGAGAATACGTCACAGCCTGTCCCAGATCCACACGGGAAGCCTCAGAGTCTGCAGCTATTTTGGGACAAAGATGGGGCAGCAGGCCTCAGTGCACCCAGCTTAGGCCAGATCAGCTTAGAAATGGCTTCACTTTAAGAAGCCACAATTAATACTCTGAAGTTGACTCTTAAACGAAACATGCAATTTTTGACAAGTTTGCATTGCTTTATGGGTAATAAGGAGAAAAAGGAAGAAAGGCCATTTGTTGGTAAAATGTCTTTTCAAAAGACAAGAGTTTCCTTCACTGTCTGGAATCAGCCTAGTGCGCATCCAAGGGGTGGACGTGGGTCTGAGCAAGGAGAACAGGGTGGTGTGCCAGCGAGGGGACAGAGTCCTCTTTCTGCGCTGGGTTTTTGGGTTGAGCTGCGAATGAGAATTTTGGTGGCTGAGATCTGGCTTGGGGTTTTACCATTCTCACAAAGCAAGGGTTCACCAAGGGTAAACCGCATGAGGGAAATTTCACTGGGTAAAAAATCCAAAGTTCTGTAGGAAATAAGTAAGGCAAGAAAGAAGGAAAAGGGAGGAGGGGAGGGAAAAAGACAAGAAAGCATGGAAACGTTTCCAGGCGCCTCTGGGCATCACAATTTTGCCCATACAGCCCGGATTCCATTCTGCTGCTTTCATCAGCCCAGAAGGGGAGCAGGGCACCAGAGAAACTTGCTTAGGCAAAGCACTTGGCAGCCTCCAAAGCTGGCAGCTGGGCGGGCGGTGAGCTCATGGCCCAGGGATCAGGGGGACGCGGATGCTGGAATGTGCCCTGTGACTGCGGTGGCTGCGTGGGTGTGGCAGGGCCCCTGAGCACAGGGAGAGGACAACTGCTGTGGCTGGGAATGGAGCAGAACAGGGGAGTGGGCAGGCTGGGAGGGGCCGATGGTAAACCCACGCTGGAGCCGCCACAGCCCCCTGATCCTGGGGTGTGACTGGCTGTGGTGGCCACTTGGCCAGGGCCTCTGGCCTGTGTCCCACGCAGCCTGGTGCTCTGGGTCGGAACGTCTGGTGGGCTCTGTGCTAGCCGGGCCCTTCCGATGGTGCGCTCACCAGCACCGTCCTCTGGCTTTGGGTTTCATTCACCAGTTGGTAAAGAGACTACGAGGAATTCAGAGTCCAGGGGTTCACAGCCCACACTCAAAGTGGGCGAGCCCGGTGGCCAAATAATCTGTTTTTTCACGCACTGTCACAGTTCTCAGGAATACTTCGGCCACGCCAAGTGTGCCCTGGCCATGCTAAAGGTCAATCCTTCGTGAGGCCTGTCCTTCTGTCCTTCAGCTAAGATTTTTTTACTGACTGTCCACTGTGTGTTAGGCTTTGGGCTGGGTGATGGGTAAATTGTGAGCAAAGCTTATAGTTCACCGATGTGATAACCATTTACCGAACACCTACCATGGGCTGGGCATAGGGCAGTGAACAGAGCAAAAAGCCTTCTGCCCTCGGGCAGCTTATGTCTAGGAGATGAGACAGACAGCACAGCAGTCAGCAGCGAGAAGGGTGCAGTGTCAGGCAGTGAGAAGTGCTCTGAAGAAAAGCAAAGCAGGGCCGGGGACAGAGCACCATGGGGTGGAGGGTGAGGTTCTAACCTGTATAGAGCAGTCAGGGAGGACCTCCCTGAGGAGGTGGCATTGCAGCAGAGACTTGGAGGGAGTGAGGGATGGAGGCAACCAGAAGAGCATTTCAGACAGGCGCAAGGGCCAGCTCTCAGGTGGGGACAAGCTCACTGCTTCGGGGGAAGGGCCAAAAGGCCAGTGCGGCGGAGGCAGGTGCTCATGGTCTGGCAGGTGGGGGGGAGAAGGGCGGGGCCACCTGGGGAAGCGCCTGCTGAGAGGAATCTGGGTTTTGCCCAAGGTGTGAAGTGGAGCCCTCTGGGGCTTGGGAGGAGCTGTGGCTGCCATGAGGTCCAGCAGACCGTAGGGTAAGGGACTGCAGCAATCCAGGGTTCGGGGGATGAAGGCAGCTGGCAGCCTGGGCGAGGGGCCGCAGGGCCGGTGGTGAGAGATGCTCGCAGGGAGGAAGACCCCATGGTGTGCTAACATTCTGGATGTGGGGTGTGGGGGCAGAAGAGGCACCGGCAGTGCCATCTAATACTGAGAAACACTGTGGTGGGGGGCTTCTAGGTGCTGGGGTGGGAGGGGGAGCCAAGAGTTCAGTCTCAGGCTCCTGAATTTTTAGACGTACGGTCGAAGCTGGGCCCATGGGTCTGGAGCTCGGGGAGACAAGGCTGGAGCAGAAACTAGTCAACTTTGAAGATGGGATTTAAAGTCGTGGAACCGAGCAGAAGGAGAAGAGAGGCAGTGGGAGGCTTGGGCTGGGACCCTCCAGTGACTGGAGGCGGGGAAAGGACAGGGAACCAAGGCTGCAGACAGGAGGAGCTGGAAGCTGGGGGAGGACAGACAGGGCAGGGTGGGGCACCAGATGCCACTAGAGAAAATGTGCGGACGCTGCTGGTAGATCGTGTGGAATGAGTGCCCAGAACTGCCCCCTTGCATTTAGCAATGTGGGGGCCGCCAGTTATTCAACTACACTATCAAACCAACAGCTGCATAACTCCAAGCCAGATAAGTGCCATGTCAGAAAAGCACAGGGAGCTGAGACCACGCCACAGGAGAGTGAAGCCAGGCTGGCAGTCAGGGGAGGCCTCTCCAAGGCACTGACAGCTACACTGGGCCCCGGGTGATGGGGGCGGAGTTGCCGAGATGGACAGTGAAGAGGGCCAGGGAGGAACAGAAGAGACTCCTAGGACAGGGAACAGCTCACACAGCCTGGATGTCACCTGATGCAGTGATGGGTGTGGCTGGAGGTTAGCAAATGAGAGGGGGAGGGCCTGGAGGAGGCTGGAGGGTTGGGTGGGGACAGGCCCACCTGCAAAGACTTAGAACTCTAACTTACAAGCAACGGGGAACTACTGAAGGGTTTGAGCACAGGAATGATGTGATCACATTTATGTTTATAAAAGGTCATCTGGCTGCCGGGGGGATGGATCTGCTGGGGAGAGGGGGCTGTACCTCCGGAACTCTCAGCCCCCACCCCCTGCCTTTACCCAGGTGTCCGCCATCTCTCCTGGGCCATCTCACCTGCTTCCTAGGTGACCTACCTATTCCTAGTCTTTCTGTCTGTCCTCTCATCCACTCATCCATCCACTAAACTACCCCCTCTTTCCCTCCTGTCCATTCCTTGATCATGTGTAGAGTGCCCTCACCAGGCCATCAGGACACTTTTAGATCTAAAACTAGGTCACACAAAGCTCAAAGCTTTCAATGACCCTCTGCGAACTAAGACTAAAGTACAAACTCCATTCAACCCCACACAAGGCCGTGTCTAATCCAGCTACCTCTGCCCCACCTTCCACGTGAGAGTGGAAAGGAGCACGGACTTGGCAGCCACAGAGACCTGGGTTCAAAGCCCAGCTCTCTCAGTGGCCAGCTGGGTTAGGAGTTTTGGGCAAATGCTCATCCTTCACCTGGGATTCTAGGTAATGCAGATCCTAATTCAGGAGGGCTGGGGCGCGGCGCTGCTGCCGCAGGTCCAGGGACCACGCTGGGAGGAGCCAGGCACTAAGACGTGAGCGCATGCGCCGCGCTCTCCTTCCCCGCAGCGGCAGCCCTTGCTGGGGCGGCTCTTTGGTGTGGGGCCCGTTACCTCAGAGGTTTCAAGGGACTGGATCTCCCTCGGAAGCTCCACGGCATGCTTGCTGAAGTAGTCCATGGTGATGGCGTTGTTCCAGTAGCTCAGGCTGTTCTCGGGGTTGGCCGGCTTCTTCTTCCTCCTCAGGCAGCACACGGTCAGCAGGACGGCTGCGGGGAGAGCCGAGTTAGAGATGGGGGCGGAGATGCCGGTCTCCGGCTGGGGCCGTGATGGGCGCGCTCGCAGCCACTTGCCCCGTTAATTCATTTGTTCATTCGATCAAAAATGTCTAATATATGTTGAGCGCCTGCTTTGTGCCAGGTGCTGGGAGACGGGGAGAGAAGAGAAAGACACGGCTGCTCTCCTCTCCCGAGCTTCCCTCCAGCGTGTGTACGGAGGGTGCAGAGGGACCAGACAACATGAAAGCTAACTTGCTCAAAGAACATAAAACATGGCCAAGTGAGAAAGACAATGGAGGGGAGCTGGGGCAGAGGCTGCTTTAGAGCCGTCGTGAAGGGCTTCCCTGAGCAGTGACCTTAGAGCAGAGACTAGAACATGGGGAAGGAGCTGGGCAGTGTGTCCTAGGTGGAGAAAACAGCATGTGCAAAGGGCCTGAGGTGGGGGGGGGGCAAACATAATATTGGGTGAGCAGTGTGGCTGGAGTGAGGTAGGTGTGGGGCAGTGAGGTAGGAGGTGAGGCCAGAGTGCTATTTAGAGGCTGCACCCACGGGCTCAGGAGCAAGAGATGTGGATGTAACTTCGGCTAGCTGTGGATGCTGCAGGGCCGCCCCTGAGTTTGCTCCAAGGAGAGGCTTTGCTCACTTGGTGGGAGGGCTTCCCCCAGCTTGGCTGCAAAGAATGGCATGTGTGCTGAGCTGCACTGCTGGGCTGAAGAGGGGTCTTCTCAGTCGGAGCAGGAGCGTGGCAGAGAGAGGGATGGAGCCCAGGGAACTTTACACAATGAGCCCTTGCCTTCCACAGAGGGCGTTGATGGCAGAGGTCCCGGACCCTGAAAAGACAGCTGCTCTGGCATCATCAGCATTACCAACATCATCACGAAAAGATAAAGCCACTAACAGCATATAGCATTTATATGCCACGCAGAGTTCCAAGTGCTTTTGAATATTAATTCACTTAATCCTCCATGTAACTCCATGAGGTTGGTACCAGTAGGGCCCCCATTTTATAGACAGGGAAACGGAGACTCAGAGAGGTGAAGTGACTTGCCCAAGAGCAAACCCAGATATCTGAAGTCCAGAGTCTGTGCTCTCAGCCCTCCCCAAGTCTGCCTCACAAAGGCACGCCAAACGCCGACAGGGAGCCCACACTGCACAAATGGGATTGCTGGGGGCTCCCCACTGTGCGACATGACACCCTGTCTGTTCAGTCCGGAGACTCGAAGGCCCTGGAAGGAAGGAGCATGTCTGTATGTTGCTGATAAACCAGGTGTGACCAGAGTGGCTCAGACATGCCGACTTGGAAGGCTTCTGAGGTCGGAGAGGTGGGCTGGCCTGTCCAGGGTCACACAGTGGAACGGGTGATGCAATGACCAGGGTAACAGAAGCCCTCTGGGGGAAAAGCCAGTAAATGGAGACTGGGTACCTCCTGCCCAGGCTCGCCATCACCAGAGCCCAAAGGGTGGCTGAAATTGGGCCAGGGGTTCGCAGAGCTATGGGGAACACCCAGGCTGAGCCGTGCACAGAGGCCAGCACCGTGGTGGCAATGGCCACCAGGGGGCAGTGGAGGCCCAGTTCTGTCCACAGCAGCATGAAGGTCTGGCCCGCATCCGGGGGCCCGAGCGTGCCAGGGTGTAGGGTAGCTGCAAACCTGGCACCTCACAGGCTGAGACCTCGGGGCCCACAGTCTAGAGCCCTGTGGGCTGAGGAATCCTGGAATGCTCTTCCCTGCTGCTGGCCTCGCTGGCATCTTGACGTGACAAGCCTTCCAGACGAGTTTTCATTCAAGCCATCAGGCAAGTTTCCATTCCATCCAATCTGTTTCTATCAGTAAAACTTCTGATTTGCTTACCCTTCTTCCAGGTTCCCTTAAAAACATTTTCAAAATAGAAAGGCAATTTCTGAATATTTGAGCTAAAAGGAATTTTAGACTGGCTGGTAGAGACTTCTTCAAATTTTGTGGGTCTCCTTTCCTTCTCAAGAACCCTTTCTTCAACTGGTTGAAGGAGGAATAGGAGTGAGGAGGGAGGCTGCAGAGTCAGCCTGAAATTCTGCTCATTTAGGGCACCCTCTGCATCCTACAGACCAGAAGACTAGGGTCCAAAGACTCCGGCTGAACTGCCGCAGGTCACAGTAAGTGGCAGGGCCTGGGGCAAGGCCCTAAGTCCTCTGCCCCTTTTCTGGAGTCTTTGTTCCTCACTGTCACTACTTTTCACCCTGCTCCTGGGGTGGTGAGGTGGGCGTGGGGGAATTCAAGCTGCAGAAACCCAAACCATAAGGAGAGGGTTGGGCTGAGCCCACACTGCCACTGTGGTGAGCCTGGGCCTGATTAGGACACAGGACTGGGGTCCTGCCCTGCAGGAAGGGCATGGGGAGCTCTGTTCCTTGCCTTCTCTCCTTCACACGTTGGTGCTCCTGGCCTGATCACATGCCTAACAGGGAGCTCCTGGGGCCTCTCAAACACCGTTTCATTGACACACCAGAAGCCAGCCCGGCTGCAGGAAAAGCATGGCCTTGGAGACCAAAAGCCACAGGTGCAGGTGTGACTCTGCTGTGTATCACACTAGGTGAGTCACTTTTTTTTTCCTTCTTCTTTGGTTCTTTTTTTGGCGGGGGCGGGGGAGGTAATTGGGTTTATTTATTTATTTACTAATGGAGGTGCTGGGGATGGAACCCAGGACCTGCTATATGCTAAGCACTCACTACCTCTGAGCTCTGCCCTCCCCCTAGGGAAGCCACTTCTTGATGCTGATCCCTATGGACTTCGCAGGGTTGTAAGGAGTCCGAGATCATGAATACAAGATTCCAAGTGCACTGCCTGCCGCACAACAAGTGCTTAATGAGTAAGAGTTTCCTGAAAGAAAAACTGGGCTGCACAGCTGTTGGGTGGTTCAAGGCCAAGTCTCCACCTGTGATTTAGCACTTTCATTATTTCATATTAAACCTTTTCATCCCAGAAAGAAAAGTATGATCAGACTTATGGAGTCTCTAATATGTTCCCAGGGGCTTTATGGTCTGATTTAACCCACAAAATAACCTCCTGAGGGAGGGGCTGGTACTCTTCCCATTCACCGAAGAGGCAACTGAAGCTCGTGGAGGTTAACGGAAGTGACCCTGGTCAGCCAGCTAATTACTGGAACTGGAACCCGGGTCTCAGTGACCTCTGGCTGCCGGTCATCCTAACTTGTCCTGATCGCCGGTGGGGGCGTGAGGAAGCACTGCGTGGACCACAGGCTCTGTGCACACACAGGGTGGGAGCCGCCCCCTCTCCGATGCTCTCTTGAAAGCTCCCACTACTCTGCTTCTCCCAAGGCAACAGCCTCAAGGCTCTTAGAGGAGGTCAAGGGCATCCCTAATCCCTCCAGTTTTAAAACGAGTGTGAGTTCAGCAAGCTCTCTCTGCTTCCCAGGCATGTCAGTGGGGATCAGCCATGGCTTGTCAGAGCTATGTCAGGAAGGAGGAGGGTCGCCGATTGGAAGACGGAGCCCTGAGGACTGTGCTGACATTTCTGGGAGGGGCCCGGCTTCAGGGCTGGGACCCGCTGTGCCAGGGGAAATGGAAATGAGAGCCTATGGTAGCCCGAAGGTGCAGCCTTTTCAAACACCTGCGGAAAGTGCGCCCTCCGTGGCCTGCTGGAGAACACATGGCCAGTCCTAACTCGTGAACATACTATCTGCCCGCTGCCCTCACCGGGCACCTCTCCATGGCGGACTCTGTGGTAGGACCTCAGATGCATCAGCTCTGCTGTGCACAAGTCTTTGTGGGGTGGGGGCGGCTGCAGCCACGAGAGTGCCGGCTCAGACCTCCTGTGGTGGGGGCACAGCAGAGGGACAGGCACAGTGGAGGGCCTGGCCCAGCCACTACCCTTTGATTCAGCACCATGTGTGTGCCGAGGCCACGTTTCCTGGGCTGCTCCCGGCCGTGGCAGGGTTACGAGAGCAGGCCTGTTCCTGTGGGACAGGGGCCTCCTCTAACGGCCTGAGGACTACCCTCAGCCTGGCAGAAACTTCTGTAGGGCTGCCCTGCGGTCCAAGCCTCTCCCTCCCCATCCTCCCCTGCAACGTGCCACACGCACACTGCGCTGAGGCTCTCCCCGCCTCCTCCATCCCCTTCCGTTACACTTCGCAGGTGTTTCCCCAGTACATCCCTTGCAGGCTGAATTCTGTTTAGGTATCTGCCTCCTGGAGGCCCCAGGCTAACACAGTGAACGTTGAGTCCTATTTCCACAGGCGAGAAAGCATTGGACCAACTTGTCCAAGTTCCACAGGTGACGAGTGGGAGAGGTGGGGTCACGCCCAGGTGTGTTTGATTCCCAAGCCAAGCCTTTCTGACACATCAGGGTCCATCTTGAGTGAGTCACGCAGGGTGAACGTTAGGAAAGTGAGAGAGGCAGGCAGCTTTGACAGATGTCAGGTTGGCCCCTCATTTTGTAGGTGAGACACCGGAGACTCTGGAGGGAAGAATTTGTCCAGTGGTGCCAGCCCAGCTGTGGACCATCACTTCCCTCCTCTGGAGGCTGGGGGAGGAGGCCAGGGGAGGCCTCGGGGTGTAGAAGGAGGCCAGGCTGGACACGAGGCCACAGGCCTGGGGAAACCAAGTTTGGGGGCTCACTGACTCCCCATCTGGCTGGTGTGAATGGGCCTGAGGAAGCGCCACAAGGTTCCTGCAGGGGGCGCTGTTGGGAAGCACAGAGAAGAACCCTGAGAGTGTGTCCAGGACACTGTGGTCCAGCCACGGGGACACCCCCCGTTCCCCCTCCCAAGCCTGCCGTGCCCCAAGGCCACGCCTCCCTTCAGTTGGCTCATAAGCCCCAAGGAGACAAACCTCCTGGTGATAGTTCCTTCCTGTCCTCATCTCTCCTATTCTTTTTACTGGAAAGAGTACTTCTTAAGGGAGGGTATAGCTCAGTGGTAGAGTACGTCCTTAGCATGCACAAGGTCCTGGGTTCAATCCCCAGTACCTCCATTTAAATAAATAAACAAATAAAACTAGTTACCCCTCCTCCCAAAACAAGTCAAGATGAAAAGTTCTTGTTTTTGTTTTTTTTTTTTAAAGGAAAGAGCAATTAAAAAGAAATACTTCTGACCCAGGTTTTCTTATATGAGAACTACAAAGTCATTGGGGTCTGTGAGTAAAAGATACTCACAGACATTCAGATCTGAGTAACCCTCACAGAACAACATGTAACACGGCCAAGGGCCGCACGGGCACAAGGATGTGTTATCTCTGAAGGCGGCGCTGACGCTCCCATGGCATTTACTGTAGTTCTGGAAGGAAGCCAGCCTGCTCCGGGTGAGGGGCACATCCGGGCTCAGGGAGAGGCCTACTCTGCTTTGGACAGCTCAACATGGATTGATGAAGGCCAGCTGTGGATGTTTCCTGCTTTCACCCATAAACCCCCATCTTTTTCAGGGAGGCTGGATGAGGACATTCTCAAGAATGGGTGTGGCATGTGTGGGACAGGTCAGGGAGCCTGACAGAGCCACACAACTGACCTCCTGATGAGAACCCAGAGCCCAGACAGCCACGAGTGAGGATGGACCGCTTTGGCTTCAGGCCCACAGGCTCGTAGCAGGAGGTGGTGGGCTGTGCATCCGGATGGTGGCAGCAGAGACCAGCTCAGCCTCATGGCTCCCCAGCCCCAGCCAAATGTGGCCTGGATCCAATCAATTTCAGCTCTCAGCACATTCTAAAATGTGTGTGGCTGTCCCCTGGGGGGCTCAGGAGACAAAGCATTTCTCGGACCTGGTACAACAGACATCCTCCCAGCCACTGAGCGGGGCCCCCGATCTGGAAGGGCAGGTGGAAGTGCCGACACCCCTTCTTGAGCAGGCCTGAGGTTCGCTCTGACCACCCACTGCTCCCACTGGAGGCCAGGGATTTGCGCACCTGCCCAGCAGCTCCCCATCTGGAGTCTGGCTTCTGCTCGATGGAGAAAAACAGAGCCAGGGCCAGGGCTGGTCTGAAGAGCCAGATGAGGAAATCTGTGCACGCACTTTGCTACCAGCGCAGACGGCCTGAAATAGCTGGCAAACTAGCCAGGAGGAGAGCCCTCTTTGAGGGCTGTAGAGTGTGCTTATTAGGATAAATGTGGCTGCCGGGAAGGTCTGAAATGTGGGGCTCTCACACCTGGAGGAAGCCTGCTTGCCTGATGGCTGGAGTGGGGCTGGGTCAGGAAAACAGCCTGCATATTTACTCAGCTGTGCTTGGAAAGAGCACAGCGCTTTGAAGCCGGACCAGTGTTCTTCCAGCTCAGTGTCCCCCTCATCAGGACCTTCACAGGATTAAGGATGGTCCCACGGGGCCATGACTAAGGACAGGGAGGTGGACATGGAGGGAGCCAGGAACCTGGGTGAGTGAGGGCTCAGGAGAGCCTCCCTCAGACTGGAAATGCCAGAGGGACACCAAAGGAGGGGGTTGTGGTTCCCAGGGGCAATCTTCTGTTACAAAGTAACTTGCTCCGCCCCAGCAGCTGAAGGCTCCTGCCTGTGCCAGAAGCGTTCTGGAGGTGCAGCTCCTGGCTGTGTCCTTGCCTCTGTCTTGGCTGACGGTGTAGGCATGGTTCAGGCAGCCCATGGGCTTTCCGCTCTGCAGTAAAATCTAATTTCAAACTCATACATAGCAAAAGGGCCAGAGAAATCCTTTTAGAACTGCAAACCCAGGTGGGTGTGGCCTGTGGGGGTGGAGGCTGGAGAGGGCGCTGGCAGCTGAGGAGGGGGCCGCACCACACACCTCCGATTCCCTGAGTCCCTAGTGCGTGCAGCAGTGCTTGGCACACAGTGGGTGCTCCGGATATACTGGGGAGAATCCAACAGATTCTATCCCCAGACCTGGGCTGACTCACCTGTGATTGGAACCCTGGGCAAGTCATTTCACTTGGGGACTTGCTCCTCATGTCTATGGCGTGTTCCTTGGGCACTGTGTTTACTTTTTTGTTTTTATTTTATCCTTTGGCTAGTCTGCTTGAAGGAGGAATGATTAACAAAAAATGGGAACACACTCTGTAAACTGAAGTCTCTAGACACATGGAACGAATGGAAAATTGGAAAGCTGTCCCTAATGTGGTTACTTCTCAAATATGACCATTATTAATAATTTATTGCCTAATAGTGCTGCACTTTCTCATTATCACTCTTCTGTGTTAGAGGTGGGCCATCACAGCTTTAGGAATACCTGTGTGTTTCCATGAGCGACAGTAAAGCTGCTTAATGAAAGAATGAAATATACAACCTGCCAGCAATTTCACTTTTCCTGAAGTGGGTCCTTGAGCAGAAGTAGACTGTCCACCCCGGCACGGAAGGTTTGCTTTGCTTTTCGACTAGAAGGAGACAGAGAACTGGGAGAGGTGGCTCCTGGAAAGAGTCTGGACTCCAGGTTACAAAGGATCTTGCTGGAGAACAAGGCCAAGCAGAAATCAGGTTTGTGTTAAGGGCACACACGCCCCGCACTGACAGTTGACCCACAGCACGAGGGAAAGCATGAGACCTGGCCTAACAGCCTCCTCTGTGGAAACGTCTGGGCTTCGTTCCTCTTGGGATCAGGCCGAGCCCATGGCATGACGTGAGGCCTTACAACCAATGGGGCTGATGCCAGTGCAGGCTGCCTGAATGTGACCAAAGGATTCAGAGAGAGGAACTGCCACCTGCTGTCCTCTGCCACGGCCAGGCATGTGTGGGTGCAGGCAGGAACCGGGGGCCATCCGAAGGGGCAGATGGGGGCAGGGCCGGGGCAGGGTGGCCCTATGAAAAGACTCGAAGGGACAGGGATGAGCAGCTTGGAAAAAGAAAAGGCTGTCCTTGAGAGCGAGTTCAGATATTCCAGGGGTTGGCAGACAGACTTGCTCTGTATGGCTTCAGAGGGCACAGGTTAGGACCAAAGGGTGGAAATTATAAGGAGGCAGATTTCAGGTCCCCAAGAGAACCAGGAAACAATCTGAGGGTCACAGGGGAACAAGCTGGCGAGCGGGAGGACAAGGGGCTTCTCACCCCCAGAAGGGTTCAGAGGGTGCCCGGATGATGGCTTTGTGGGGTGGTGTGGGGCTGCGTACAGTGAGGATTCCTGTGAGGCAAACAGAGAATCTCTACAGACCAAGGATCAAGTATGCAAGGAAGACATAAAGGAAGCCCTCAGGTCCCAGGTGACTGCACCAGGCTCTTCGTGGAGACTTCAGGGAGAAAGCCTCTCGACTCGTCTTGAAAGGAGTGATGGGCAGCAGCAGGAGGCGCTGGTGGCCTGGGAGAGCCCTTTCCCACATCCCAGTGAGAGCAAAAGACGACGTGGGGTCCACAAAGCATCAGCTCCCACCACCCATGAGCAAATAAAACAGGCAGCGGAGGAGAATAGCTGAATTCACACGGAGCTCTCAAGCCTCAACTGAACTACAGGAACTCTGTTTTTGTCGAGACTAACAGAACTTCCTGCTAGATCAAAGCTTCATCTCTTCTTCTTTCTTAGAGGGATGACAGACAGGAGGAAGGGAAGAAGTGAGAGGGGAAAGGCTGGACTGCAGGGGAGCCAGAAGGGGGGCTGGGAGGAAGGTGAGGGCTCTGCTAATTGGAGGCTAGAAGTTTGAAAGCACCAACTTTCCCTGACGGTGTGTTGGGGCCACGTCGCTCCATGTGTGAGCAGGCTGGGTGGTGTCATGACAAGAGCCCTGGCCTGGAAGACGGGCTCTGAGCTCTCCTCCCAGCCCTGCCTCTCACTAACTCGGGGGTCCTGGGGGAGCCATGTCCCCTGTCCAGCTTGGTGTTTCTTTCTGCAAAGTGTAGAATTGGACCGGACTACCTGTAAGGTTCTCCCCAGCTCCTGAGAGTCGTGCCTTCATGCTCAGTGGGCATCTGAGCCACGGCCTGGCAGAGCCGAGGACGTGGGGAGTGATAACCCACGACTCTTGTCCTGTTACCTCGTTCTCGGGATTCTGGGGAGTGTTGTAGCCCACTTGGCAGGGACTGCCCAACTCTGGGGCAAAGGAATTGTAGGGATGGGCAAGTTGCCATCGTGGAGGTAGAAGTGGGGGGCGTGGGGAGGGGTGAGGCACTTACAGCAGGAGGAGATGGGCACGCTGATGGCCAGAATCACCCAGGCGATGTCCATCTTGCTCAGGCAGATGGTGGCTCTGTGCTGGGGTTTGTCCCCTTCGGCCACATGGGAGATGTTCCCTGCTGTTCCTGGCTTCCAGGTCCCGGCGGGGACCAGACGGTTGAGAAAGTTTCCTGTGGCCGTGGACACCACCGTGGAGAGAGGACTGGGCACCCTGCCAGCCATGGTGGTGGTGGCCAAAGCCTCTTCCTCGGCTTGGGAAACAGTGCTTTCTGAAACCCCGGGGGAGCTGGCTGGAGCCTGAGGGGCTGAGGATGTTCCCTGAGGAAGCCCCTTAGAAGGGGCTGAGACACTGGCGTCAAAGGCAGCCTGGGTGGGCCCCGTGGCAGCCGTGAAGACCCCAGAGCTGGCAGATGGAGGTCTGCTAATGCCAGGGGTGAC